ATGAATATAAACATAAAATATGATGATATTTAATTGAAAATTTAAAAATCCTCGTATCTTTTATTTTTATTCTTCTTTCTACTCTACTCTATAGAATAATGACATAAACACACTATTAATTCTTTCTTTTAATCTTCTTTTTAATTTTTACACTTGTTCTATAGAATACTAGAACTTAAACTATGATGTTTTAAGTTCATAGTATTGTTTTGCTAGCTGTTTGTTAGTTTTTGCCTCTTTAATAGTATATTTTTTGGCCTTTCTAACAAAAAAGTTATCACGTAAACAGATTAAAGTACATCTATACTCGTATAATTGTTCTATAAATATAATACATATAATATTGATGTTAAAAATGCAAATCATAAACTACAAATTGTCTCAAATATTTAATTACACTGTCTATGCATAAAACGTGTATACATTTTGAGATAGTTTTAAGGACTTATCCTTTTAAAAGTAATTATATAAACCTTTGATCTTATGTGATTAAATTTAAATTAATTGTTTTTTAAAAGTATAATCCTTAAAAATGTGAATTGACCAAAAAGCCAAGAGCACATAGTCCCAGTGGACAGACAGACAGGCATGCCTACGAGGCGCAGAGGCTGTGTTCAGCTTTGTTTTTTTTTTTAATAAAAAATTAAAAATAAAGGAATGCTGGAGCGCAGCTTTCATTTTTCTGGTTGACAATTGCTTCCGATTTCACGTGTGTTTTGTGTGTTGTCTATTTTATAGATGCAAACAAACATTTCTCATTTTGTCATTACTTCTTATTCTTTATTTTGTTATGGTATCTCAATTCTTCACTTATTTAAAATATCATTTTATCATCTATGTATGTAAAAACAAATATTTTGTTCATAGAAAATGATAACTCAATCACAAATATTATATCCACGACAAACAGTCGACATGTAACGAATTTGCGGTTCATACTTATTTATATACTCATTTCCTTTAGGAATGTTTTTGGGATGATCATTTTTTTAAATTTATTTCTAGTAATTTCACCGTTTCACCATCTTTATATAACAAAGTTGTTTCTGAATTCTTAAAGTTGTGAATTATATTATAAAATTCGGACTATATTATTACGTTGAGTCTGTTATATGCATTCACATCGCAATTTTCTCATAAGACTACAAACAAAATCTCACCTTTTTTATTTTATTTCGCAACTTCTTATGATGACAAAAAGGTATATATTTAAAGCTTTAAACTGAATATGTTAATAAAGAACAAGAAGAAGATGATCATGAGATCACCTTATGATCTTCGTGCTCAAAATAAGAGGGTCAATGAGCCGGTATATATTAGAAGTAACTTTTAAACAACATTTGAGCAATAATGGATTAAATGATGCTTATGCTTTCAACTACCTTAATTGTCATCAAACCAATAAAAATGTAAACTACAGTCAAAAGATCCTGAAATCAACATCAGATGAACAAATCAATCATTCTTATTAGCCAAAAATAATTTTTGCAATGAAGTTGTGCATGCCCACAAACATCATGAGCATTTGCCAAGTTTAGTCATTCAATAGTTTTTTTTTTTCAAACGACAAAAGATATTAAAGAAATCTAAAAAAGAGTTAGAAAAAATTAGAATTATATAGAACTAAAAGCGAAAATAGGGTCTTTAATCCACTTAAACCAATCAACCTTGATTCTACGGAATCTAATCAAAAACCAAAGAAAACTAGAAGACAAATTTATTAAATAATTCATTTCTACTCGGTTTGGTAGTATTAAAAATAGACAAATTACGAAACAATCAAATCGGCCAAAAGCACGTAAAAAGCTCGTATATTTTAGCAAATGTTGGTATTACATACTTAGTAATTTAAAGACAGTGAAGACTTATAGATGTTGGACATTCCATATCAGGTAAATGAGGTGAAGATAATATTTTTCTTCTAGAACCTTACTTGGTATCATATATTGAGTTTTCCCTCTTATTTTTAGGTTGTACAACATATTTGCTTCTTTCCTTCGAATGTCATAATTTTTCTTGACCATCTGATTTCTAAAAAATGTTTAAAACTATAACTTTTGGATTACGCCCTACTAGGGCCACAAAAACTTGGGGATATATGTGCCTTAGTCTGACCAATAAGAAAAGATTACATCTGCAAGTGTCCAAAACATTGTATGATGTTGTTCAAAAGAAAATTTTATGATATAATGCACATTCTCGTGTTTACAAACAATTTTCAAGGTCACGCGATACCATTTGGGAAGAGTTGCATTATTCATTTAATCTTTTACAAGAAAAATTGAATGATTGGTTCTTTACGGATCGTCTTATGGTTATTTATGCAAGATAAAAAGTTCAATCTAAGTATTTTTGATATTTAATTCTTAATAAATTAATCATCCTTTTGTTTTCTATAAAATTAATTATATAAAGAGTTTTTTTGGGTATGCAACAATTACATAATTGCAATCTTATGAAATTCTTACTTATTTATGGGAATTTTAGATCAACTATCCATGACATGTTTAGTCCAATCTCATGCTTAGAGTTTTTTGGATATACAAAGAGTTTTTTTTTTTTTTGGTATGTAACTATTACATAATTGCAATCTTATGAAATTCTTAGTTATTTATGGGACTTTTGTAAAAATTAATGCTATAAATAAATTCAACGCCTACAATTATTTGTTAACACTTAAAATTATTTTTAAATCTTAAAATTATTTATTTTAAGTTTTAAATAACCCTTTTTAAGTTGAAACTTATTTTATATTGTTTTATTGAAGGGACACATAAACAACATTAATTGAACTATTAATTATGAGGAATATTACCATAATTAAATGTAAAATTTATTAATTATAGAAAATATTCTTCATAATTAATGCATTTCATATTTAATTATGGTAATATTTCCTATAATTAATATGGCATATTAAAAAAATTGCAGTGTTACAAATATATTCATGCATACAATACATTTGTTAACGTTCTATTAAATTCCAAAGCACTTCTAAATTTTTTTAACAAATTTGGTGTGGTTAAATAAAGTTTTTAAATGACACATGTTTCCACCAAACAAAATAAAAAGCAACAACTATGCACTTCAATATACTTAAACAGTTAATAAAGCATGCGTTGCACAAGCCCGATCTTAACTAATTGTTTCTTGAGAGGTTAAGAAATAATTAAATAAAAAACAAGAAATAATTTTTACCAAACATAAATTTTTTTTTTTTTGATATATTAAATTTCACAACCTAAATCGAGAAAAAATATCCACTACCAGGATTGGAGAAGAGCTGTCGTTGGGAGGGAATATCATCGGCACTACCCACTACTACAAATCATCAACTTTGGCCCAAAACCCTACAATTTTGAAAGAAAGAGAACTCGGTGGCCCAAGTGGCAGGTTGTCTTTCTTGTTCAGTTGTTTGGTCTAATGTTGCTAGGATTTTGGTTGTCGTTTTGATATGTATATTACAACTTACACTTAAAAAAATAAAATACATAGAACATCTGAAAAATCACAACCCAAAATTGCAAAGACCTTTGCTAAATTACATGAACCGAGCTATTGTAGGTTGCATCTATAGTGTTACCATACAAGTCAATCTAAATGACTACTACATCTTTCTACAACTAAATCAAGAGCATTTTTTTTGTTCCTTGCATGAAAACAAACATTTAACATTTTGTCACGGAGGCAAAAAATATGGCTAAGATTTATTGCGGAGAAAGGGATGATATTTAGGGTTTCTTGATAATTCTTGGCCAAAACCAATAAGTTGTATTTATTATGTTCTTGCATTAACGGTGGGATTTAGGCTAAGTCAATACGTCATTAATAAAGTAAGCCAAAAAAAAATAAACAACTAATTTTCTATTTGATCATAATAAAACTATTAACATTTTACTATGTTTCTTATCTCTCTCTTCTTCTCACAACTCATTAACAACTTACTAATGCAACATCATTTCCTAACCTTGGTGAGAATCATATGAAAATGTGTTTTGATGATGTGATCATCTCTTTATGCTTAAGAATACTCACCAATTCCTTTTAGCCTAAGTAACAAATTTTCACCATTATTAGCTTGAAATTTGTAACAGACATTAGTTGTGGTAAATTCAATCGTAACCCGGAATCGTCCAACATCCTTGAAATTCTTGAAATTATTGATAGTTAACTTGCAATAAAAAGCTAAAAAATAGTTATTGATGATGTATATCTCTTACTTGAAATTCTTGATACTTATCTTGCAATAAAAAGCTAAAAAATAGTCATTGATGATGTATATCTCTTATTTTTTAGCCCATAACATACATCTTAAATCTAAAAAAGAGATGAATAATCTATTATTGTAATATAAATAAAATATAAAATAAGTTTGACCGATGTTAAGTATTTATAAATAGCATAATTTGTCTTAGGAAAATCTTAAAAAATAATCCATGCGGTTTCCACAAAAAATCAAGTTTGATCATTAATTATAATTATTTATTATTTTTGTGTTTTCAAGGATGATCCATATGGTTTGAAAAACTTTTAATGAATTGTCATTTTGGGTCACTCCGTCACTTTTGGTCCGTTAAATTTGAAAATATGCAAGACATGTGAGGGCATAAATCGTCTGTCACATACTTCTAGGACCATTCATGAAGTTTTGTACATTTTGAAAGAAAAACCCTAATATGACATTGTCCTTATGTCTGGTGCATATAAGAAAATCCCCTCTAGGCATCTCCATCGCCGGTGGGTGGGTCGTCGAGATTGGGGTTGAAGAACTCTGGTGGTGAGCCGCCCACACCGCCATCTAATTATACAACGTAGAAGACCGCCTGGGGTACGAACCTCAAACAACTTGGGTGAGCTATTAACATCTGTACTAAAATGGCGGAAGATGAGTACGATTACTGTGCGAGGCGGCGACGTACGAAGACGCTTAGAAACTGCAATCCCTAATAGCTTTCGGAGCTGACGTTTCCTACTTTGACCATGACAGTTTCACACCTCTTATGCTTGCTGCCAAACAAGGACACGTCGATGTAGTAAAAACCATGTGTCGCGTAGGTGCTCCATGGTGGACCCTCTCTCATTCCAATCTCTCCGTTGGAGACTTCACAACGGATGGCAGTCAACAAGATGCCTTTGAGATTCTGCTTATTATTGGTACTTCGTCAGTCAACAAGATGCCTTTGAGATTCTGCTTAATACTGGTACTTCGTCATATCATCGTCTTCACATCAATAATTATCTGTTTCTCACTTCTTCTTCTTTTTTTTTTTTTTTTTTTTTTTTTTTTTTTTTTTTTACATTTTCATCATTATATCAAAATTAGTGTTTTTTTTAACATAACTTGATCAAAATATAGGTGCTTTCATTCTTAGAACTTAAACATTTTTTGTATATTCAATTAACCTGAACAATTGTGTTAATGTCCCCTCTTTCTACAGTTTGTATAATGCATTGTTTAAGATATTCTTAGCAAATTGTTCCTTGTATGTACATGGATACAAGCAATCGCAAGAAAAGAAACTAAAATTGGCGATTTAGATAGTGACTACATAGAGAACAAAGTTAGTTTCAACGAAGATAAACTCATGGATGCCAATAGCAAAGTTGTAACGATGGCTTGAGAGAATCCATTAGTGGAAGCTCATGTAAAAGCCATATGCTCAAGAGGTAGCCACATTCTAAACATAGGATTCAAAATGGGTCTTGTGGATACAACTATATCGCCTGTGGTACGACCATCCGAGCAAAGCCGTCGACTGGTTTATTAAAAAAGCTAAAGCCGCCATTGATGAACTCGCCGAGCTTCCAACTTGGAACCCCACTTCCACCACCACCACCACTAACACCGGCGTCGTCACAAATTCAACTTCAAATTTGAATTTTGAGCAACACCAAAATGATTGTATTATTGATAATCAAATGAGTAACGTCCAAAATTCAAGCTTTTTACCTCCACCTCTTAATTCAAACTCCATTGTTGATACGATTAAGTCGGGTTTTTTTTTTCGATGGGTGGCTCCTTAACGCCACCCAACAGTTACTTGTCGGCTGTGCAATTTCAGCACAGCTTCTCACTGATGGAGTAGGTAGGTTATCTAGATTTCTTATTCTGGTATATATTCAAATTTCAAAGTGAACAAGAGGAAGATGACGACATCTCTGATAAACCGTCCTTTGCTTCATTTGATTCTTGCCACTAATTCACCTTCGTTCTTCTTAATCTTCTCTCGAACATGTAAAAATCTCAAACACCTAATTATAAAAGGAAGAGGGCCTAGTGTAATTTTGAAGAAGAAAAGAAGGGCTAAAGTTTTTTTTTTTTTAAGACAACTTCATTCATGAATGGCCCATGTAGTATTACGTAAAATACGATTTATCTCTCACATGCACATGCTCACATTTAACGGACTAGTTAACCATAAGTACGTTCCATTAAAAGTTTTCAAACCACATGGTTCATCATTGAAGATAAAAAAAATTAAGAACCAAACTCGATTTTTTGGAAACCACATAGATTATTTTTAAAGATTTTCCTTTGCCTTATTTTTTCATTATATGTTTTCTTTTATTTATTTTTTAAAGATTTTCCTTTGCCTTATTTTTTCATTATATGTTTTCTTTTATTTATTTGTTCATTGTATACTTTATTTTATTTATTTAAGGATTACAGAAAACAATGAGTTTAGAACATTCATTATATTACAATCCTACATTTAACGAGTGTTTTTTTTTTTTTTGTAAATCAGGTTACAATACATAATGATCATTAAAATAGAGTTTTAAAACTATAAAGTATAAACGCCACTGTTGATTTTACTTTAAAAATGAAAATGTTGGATCAAATATTTATTCATTAAGGAAAACATAAAACAAAATCATGTGGGAGTATACAATAGAGGCTGCAATCAAACTACAAAATCAAAAGCTTATGCTAGTAGCTTTACGAACAATGTACCCGGGTTTAAATTGTTAAATATAGACAAAATTGCAAAAATGGTCCCTGTGTTTGGCAAAATTATGCGAATTTGGTCCAAAACAATACCTTGGTGCACCACTGGTCCAAAAATGGATTTTTCTATTGATTTTGATCCCTCACACTAACTTCCATCCATTTGTGTCGTTAGCTGCAATAAAGACGAGGGTATTTTCGTTTTTCCACCTACAGGGACCTTTTTTGCAACCTTATTCAAAATAAAAACAGGAGCTACATCAGTCTTCCATCTTCAATTTCATTAAAGCTTCATATTCTTCCTACTCTGTGTTCGTAACTTCTTAGACATCAAAAATTCAAATGGTGATGTGTTTCTGTGGTAGGGACACGGTGGTTCGCACCTCCTGGACATCAGCAAACCCTGGTCGGAGGTTTCTTTCCTACCCCTCAACAGGTAAGTGTTCCATTTTGCTATTTTACCCTCATTTTGGAAAATCACCCTCATGTTTAAGGGTTTTTTACGTGAAGGGTTCCAGATGCAGATTCTTAGGATGGATTGATCCTCCAATGTGTGCAATGTAACGCCCGCAGATTCGGGCTAGTCAATTTAGAGACGATGAGCGTCAAAAAATGACTCTTTGATAGAGGATTATTTAGAATAAATAATCTTAACTAAGTTTTAGTATATGTGATAAGGTTTCCGTACATATAAAGAACGCTGAAATCCGAGTTAGAACGAAGAAGTTATGACCCGTCGAAGTTTCGCAACAGAACCGGCACGACACAACGTGACGTAAATAGTGAATTTACGATAGAATGATTTTTAGCCTTAGTAATCTAAACGAAAGTCGTAGTGTTCGTTAAACCGAGAGCGTGCATAAAAAGAACGCCCAAATCTGACTTCGTATGAGGAAGTTATGATTTTTCTAAGTTTCAGTTTAGCAGTAGACAGCTAAAAAAACTCGAATTTTAGATCAAGTGATTTTTAGCCGACACAACCTAAACGAGAATCGAAGGTCTCGTCAATAGTAGTACAACGGTAAAAAGACAGACGAAAACGGACATCGGATGAAGAAGTTATGAATTTTTAACGGATTTTCCTGTCCCGGTCTGTTAAAAATAATAATATTAAAATTAAAGTCAAAATTAGCCAACGGAGTCTAAACGAAAGTTGTAGATTATATTCCCGCCTACGCGTGCATATAAAGAACGTAAAAAACGGAGATCGTATGCGAAAGTTTATGAATTTTGGAAGTTTTTGGCTCAAAAATCGAGAAATCCTTGAAACTCAGATAATTTCGCATGAACAGTAACCGCCACATCACCTCGCACCCGCAGCCGCCTAGTGTCCGCCTCGTGTCAGTAGCTGATTCGGCCGAAGCCGCGGTGCAATGGGAAACCGACGCGCCTCGCATCCGTGGCGTCTTCCGAGCTCGGACGCGTGCCATCTCCGTGTCCTGTCCGAAGCGCGCCAGCTGCCTCCCCTCCGAATCCGAGCCTCGCATCTTCTGCCGCGTGGAGCCCTCTCAGCCGCTGATCTTCTGTCCAATCAGCAGATGACACGCGAGACTTCGGTCCAATCAGCAGATGCCACGTAGCAGACACGTGGAAGCCTCGCATGCGAGGGTGACGTGGCCGAAGAGGGTCCATGCGAAAATTCCCGGTTTTCAACATTTCTTGATTTTCGTGCCAAAAACTTGCGAAATTCATAACATTCGCATACGAGCTCCGTTTTTGGCGTTCTTTATATGCACGTGTAGGTAAAATTATACTCTACAATTTTTATCTAGACTTCGTCGGCTAATTTTGACTTTATTTTTAATATTATTATTTTTAACAGACCGGGACAGGAAATCCGTTAAAAATTCATAACTTCTTCATCCGACGTCCGTTTTCGTCTGTCTTTTTACCGTTGTACTACTTTTGACGAGATCTTCGATTCTCGTTTAAGTTGTGTCGTCTAAATATCGATCGATTTATATTTCGAATTTTTACCTGTCTACTGCTAAACCGAAACTTAGAAAAATCACAACTTCTTCATACGAAGTCAGATTTTTACGTTCTTTTTATGAAAGTTCTCGGTTTAAAATATTCTACAACTTTCATTTAGATTGTTAAGGCTAAAAAGCCTTTTATCGAAAATTCACTTTTTACACTGAACAGTGTTTTGCTGGTTTTATCGCGGATTTTCGATTGGTCATAACTTCTTCGCTATAACTCGGATTTCAGTGTTCTTTATATTTTTGGAAACCTTGTTACAATTTCTACCACTTTGTTCATCCCAATTACGATTATTGATCAATTTATTTTTGACCTAAATTTGACTGGTGTCACAGTAAAAGAGTATCATAAAGGCACGTCGTATATGTATATTGTAAATGGTTGCTGAAGTTTATGACACACAAATGCGTGTCATCTTCCTTTATGACAAGGGCTATAATGATACGCAATGTGTGTCCTAAACGCGCGTCGTAAGGCTACAACACGCAAATGTGTGTCGTCTTCCTTTATGACAGGGCCTTCCTTGATACACATTGTGTGTCGTAAATGAGCATCGTAAATGCGTGTCGTAACTGCGCGTCGTAAATGCGCGTCGTAAATGCGCGTCGTCTCTCTTTATGATAGGGCCTTCCTTGACACGCATTTGCGCGTCGTCTGAGCGTTTTACGACACGCATTGCGCGTCGTAAAAGGCTATTTTTCTAGTAGTGTCACTTTCTTGTTTTAACACGGTCACATGGTTCAATGATCAGAATTTGGAGCTACTACTACGGAGTTAGGATAATTTAATAGATTGCTATTCTCTTAGGAGATGCCTAGAAACATAGTTTTTCATTTTATGCGTTGTAAGGACAAGTTCCAATTTTTTGTTTATTTTCAATAAAAGTGAAATTTTGTTTTATCTTGTTGCCTTATTTATATTTCCTTGCAATGACATTTATGAAAGTGTTGGTTACGTTTCTAATATTAGTAATATTAATTGTGTATTTGATTCTTATGATATCGCATGTGGTATTGTCATAATTGACCAAGTGAAAAGAAATCTCATCACCAACTGCACAACTACTTGGTATTGTACAAGTCGCATTGTATAGTATATCAGAATATTGTTCATTGGAAAGTTATAACTAATTCATTGATGACATGTTTATGTGAGTCAAGTGAAGGACTAATAGATCTAGTACATGTTGATATGGACTATTCAGATCCACCATAAAAGACAATAAATCTATTGGTCATGATTTTTCTGATGTTTCAGTAAATATGGTTGTGGTTATAAGATTACTCATAATTCTGATACTTTGAAAAGATTCAAAAAGTAGCAGAATGAATAAGAAGAATCTATTAGGCAGAAATATGAAAGATTCTCTAATCTGATTTGAAAGGAGAATGCTTTAGTATCATGTTTTATGATTACCCTTAGTGATTATGGATTTATATCATAATTGATCCTCAAAGAACATCTTAATGCAATTGTATGACTAAGAAGAGGAATCATATATTGTTGTAAATAGTTCGATCATAGATTAGTCATACTTCGTTCCAAATCAAGTTTTAGAGCCATACTCTAGTAACTATGAATCATATCTTGAAACTCTCTTCAAACTAAGAAGGTTGAAAACACCTCGAAATATATGGAGTAAAAATGTTTTCGTTAATCGAGAAACAAAGGATAAATTGATACCTATTCTATGAAGTGTTTTCTTGTTGGGAATCCACATGAACTTTTGAATATTTGTTTTAGCTCGTCAAGGAATGTTCCTTGAGAGAAAACTCATATGTCAAGAAGTCAGTGGGATTCGTATTGATCTTGAGAGTTTCAAGAGTCAACCGACAATAAACCTTTTAGTTATTACTAGCACGCGACCTAAGGTTGATAAACTATCGTGTTTGGTTGACACATTCTTATTTATGTGCACTTCTAGTTGAGATGGCAATGCTTATGAGTTCTATGTTTTTCATTTAACTGCAAAAGCAAAATGCACGTTTGTTAGTGAAAATACATTGATCAATATGGGTGAACTGCTAACAACATGAAAGCATTGGTAGGCCCTTGAGCTACCAGAGGGCAAGAAATTTAGAATAACGAATTT